ACTGAGTACGGGACTGTTTGGGACCGGACCAGGTCCGGAATTTCCGGTTTCGAATCTAGGACTGGCACTATCCGCCCAAGAGGGGTATTCGGTCGCATTTCACCTATTTGGGGACCGAACCGTGCGCTTCTGTTCCCGATTTTGATCCTGGACTGGCGATTTTTTAGCCTTGGAAACAGGCAAAAAAAATAGAGCGAGACCGGGACTGGACCATAACCGGGATTGGACTGCCAAAAAAATAGAACGGGACTGGGACCGGCCCAGACCCGAATATAACCGGATCGGACCCTGGCTTCACTAACCAATATAATGACCGGCTGATCCGGGATCGGAACCGAACCGGGACCGAATTCATCCCTACTTTCACACTTCCAAATACATGAAAAACTCAAACTTAATTTTTTCACCCAAAGTTACAGTTAGTCATCACTCATAAGGAAAGAAAATAAGTGAAGTGCATAAATGGCAAATTATACCGTACGACCGACATACCATGCACATGGTATGCCAGGTCTGGTACGACACCGTTTTGCTAATTAAAATCAATTCAAAATCCTCCTCTCCAATCCTTTGGCCAGCTGTGAGTCTTCTTCCTTCTCCGTCACTGCTGCTGGGTGCTTTTGCTTCGTTTTTTTTCCTCCTTTTCAATTCCCCCACGCAAAGAACTAAAGACTACCTCTTCCCCACCCAATTGTCATGTAGTCCGTATGGGATCTGCCATAATATGATACATGTCCACATGCAGATTTGTCTTTACATTGAGAACAAAATTTTATCCATAAAAAATAACATAAACACATTTATTGGTCAAATAAAATAAACATACCATATGGAAAAATGATTTTTCTTTAAAACATATTTAATTTAAATTGGTTGAACAATTAAACTTCTTATTTTCATTGTTTACATTTGATATTATATGAAGTTACATTTTCTTCTGCGCAAGTTACATCTTAATGTACGCGAGTTACATCTAAATATATGCGAGTTACATCTTAATGTATGCGAGTTACACCACTGAATAAACTCCAGCTATGTCATTTTTATTGCCCTAATATTAAAAATAAAACATATTCACTATTTATAAAAAGTAATTAAGCTATTAGGATCAATTTTTCACTGTTTACATTGAAATCAATGTTTATAATATCTCAAACACAAAAAAAATCATTGTTCAATTTTCCAACAAGTTAAATTCTGTATACACCCACGTTACATTTGGCATCAACGCGAGTTACATTTGTAATAACACGAGTTACATTAAAAAATCAACCCCTGCTATTGAAACAAAAAAATGACCTTTTCTAAAAAATTATTTTTTATGGCCATGATATGAAAAACAAAACATATTCTGGATGTGCTTAACCTAAAACAATTGTGTAATTAGACTCTCTTTTTTCATTGTTTACATTGAAATCAATATTTGACAAGTTACATTGATCAATAATGCGAGTTACATATCTTTACACGCGAGTTACACCTTCCATGTTACTGGAACAAAAAAAGTCATTGTACACGCATGTGCTGTTCACGTGTGTACTGTTCACACGTTTTTTTTAAATTTGTCCAAAACTACATCGTTTTGGGAGTGGGTGTACAATGCTCATGGTGGGACGGTCGTGTGGTATACGAACTGCACATAAATATAAGTAAGCATCAAGTTTTTCCAAAATGGGCAAGTGCTGGACAGTACATCGGAAAAATGATTACTGATTATCTGCCCAACATCTTTTCCGATGTATTTAAAAAGTAAGCATTGAATTTACAAAAATGAAACTTGTGCTCTCTCAAAAGTGTGATATTGCCTGGTTAAACCCCACCCCCAACTCTAAAAAAACCCAGCCCCATTTAAAATAATCAACTAAATTTATTAGTACTACTCATTCATTTCATTTTATCCCATATTGGATGGCTTGTTTTAGTTTGGCACAAACATTAATAAAGTGGTTCAAAAATAAAAAATTGTGATTGGAGTTTGAGTGGAATAAAGTATAAATTAAAAATGAGTAAAGGGTCAGTTTGGTCCTCGAAGTTGCAAAAAAGGGGTCAAATAAGTCCTTATATAGAAGATTCTGTCCGGACGTGCCATTTGAGGTGGCTCCCGATAGAAGTTTTTGATGAAATTTTTTGAGCATCTTATTCATCAAGTCTAGTTTACTCATACCAAATTTCAAATAAAAGTTCAATCGGGAAGACATTCAAATGAATTCTTGAAGATAACTGTGCTTTTAACGACACAATTATCTTCAAGAATTCATTTGAATGTCTTCCCGGTTGAATTTTTATTTGAAATTTGGTATGAGTAAACTAGACTTAATGAATAAGATGCTCAAAAAATTTCATCAAAAAATTCCACCCGGAGCCACCTCAAATGGCACATCCGGACAGAATTTTCTATATAAGGACTTATTTGACCCCCTTTTTTGCAACTTCGAGGACCAAACTGACCCTTATCCCAATTAAAAATGATATGGACCATGCATTTCTTACCAAAAAAGAAACATGACTTTGTTTTTGACAACCCCAAAAAAAGCAAGACAACCAAAATGAAAAAGGCAAAATTGACATAAATAATCCTTACTTTTATGCATTTTACAAAAATAATCCCTACCAAATAAGTTTACAACAATAATCCGAACTACTTAACTCTTTCATAGAAATAAACCGGAGTTAATGGTGTTAACTTTTCCGTTAGTTTTTTTGCGTTTTAAATATAATGAAGCGAAAATATGTACAAAAATCAAGAATATTATATACTTCATATATTTGTCCTTATATTTAATTTCATTATGAACTAAATTTAATAGTCATTATTTTTCATAAAATGTAATAGAAATATTTATAAACATACTCATCAAATTCTCATTTTTCTTTTAGTTCTAATCAATATTTTATTTATATTCATTTTTATTTCATTGTAATAGAGATTTAAAAGTAATTTTAGTAATTTTATATTAAACATAACTACGTACTAAAATGAATACAAGTCTGTGTTCAAATATTTTTATTACATTTTACAAAATAGTTATTATTAAATTTAATTTATAGTAGAAATAAGACTAAACAAAAACATAATATTATTAATATTTTTATATATATTTGCTTCATTTTATTTTAAATTTCAAAAAAAATGGAAAAGTTAACGCCGTTAACTTCCGGTTTATTTTTGTGAAACAATTATCCGGTTGGGATTATTGTTGTGAACTTTTCCAGAAGAGATTATTTTTGTAAAATGCCTAAAAGTAGAGATTATTGGTGTCAATCTCGCCAATGAAAAATGAGATAAAGAGAGTAATTATTATAGCTGCTATACGTACAGACTAGACTGGAACACCCAAAGAATTATAGACAGCTATTACCTTCGTTCCTATAGTTATCTGATCGATGTGATTGATAATGAGTTTTTAAATGTGATTAAAGTAAGAATGAATTAGAATCGCACAAACATTACTAAATATGAACACAAACTTTGTCCAAAACACAAAAAGGAAAAATTAGCAAAAGTTATCATTATAAATTATTCTCAAAATCAAACATTTTCAAGAGTAGAACCCTTCATACATTGTGAGATCATCATTCTGATGAACCTTGAAGAGTTGAAGTTGTATTGCTCCTACTTAGCATACTTCATACAAGCAAAAGAATACGGAGTAGTAATTAATTAAGGAATTAGCTGAATGATAAACTAGGGATAGACTTGGAAATTTACTAACATCAAAGCCCAACATTTCCATTTAAATGTATTCTGTACAGTATTTAGAGGTAAGAAATACCAATCAATTAACAGTGTATTTGTCACTTAATTACATGGATATACATGTATAAAGTTTAGTTTATATGTTACCTCTACAATAAATCTAAGGGTTATTTGCGATTGCTTCTACTTTAAAAAATAATTTTAGAGAAAGTGCTTAATTGTGAAATTTGTCAGTGTTTGAGAAAAAAGTGTTTTTGAAAAAGTAAAAGTTAGTAGTCTTTGATAAAATAAGTGTTTTTTGAGTAAAAGAAAAAGTGAAAACCAGTTTAAATCACTTTTCTACTTGCTTCATGCTTTTAACTTTTAAGTACTTAATTTAAGTAGAATTAAATCTTGAAAACACTCATTTCAAATTTTTAAGCCAAAAGCTAAAAAACATACGGAGTACTCCGTATTTTTTATTTTTTTTTTGCAAACACTTCCTAAGTACTACGCAAATGCGAAATGGAAAACCGAAAATGGAAAAATGAAATATTTGTATACCTTCAAGTGTACCGTGTACACCTAAGTCTACACCTAAAGAAATACTTATAAATATTTTTTCATATATGTACTGTGTACACATATTTTTCATTTATATATATGCACATAATATTTTTCATATAACTTGTTTAATAACCCGATAATTAAAAAAAACATTCTACATTTTTAAATTTTGAAACCATTACATATTTTGTATGGAGTACATCATTAAACGTACAATGCAGTACCTTTATAGCAATGCACTAGTTATGAAATGTCACAATGTTTAGAAAGAAATATTTCAAGATCTTATCGTAGGTTTCAGCATTAATGAATTCCAGAACCTTATCCTTCTTATCCATGTAAAGCTTATTGGAGTAACAATATAGCTAAGCAGACTGCCCAAATGAGCTAATCAAATCCTCGTACAAGTAACTGACTATACAAGGTAAGCACTTATTCCCCACAAGAACCAAAGGTAGTTGTATATATGTATACATGGATGCAATTATATGTGGCTGATTTTGGCACTATATTACTCAGTAATAAGTTATTTAATGAATCTCAACTGAACTTTCTCTGTTAGTAGTAGGCATCTTGTCATTCAGCTCACGGCCCTTTGTCTCAAAGGGGAAAAAGATCACACAAACGCCCGATATGAAGATGACAAACTCAAACAGCCAGATGGCCAGTGTCTGATGGCATCCATGTATCAGCCCAACTGCAACTATAGGGCACACAATTCCCCCAACTCTTGCCACTGAGCTCGCAATTCCGAATCCCGTGGTCCTAACCGTTGTGGGGTATACCTATACAGGATTGGAGCAATGTGTATTATAGAAGATTCATATTAAGTTTACCTTAGTAGGATGAGTAGTCCAACACGACTATTTTGTTACTCCCTCCGTCCCCCTAAGTTTGGGACGGAGGGGTGTGGTGTGGTTTTTAAGAAAAAGTGGAATTGTGTGGTTGGTATTGAATTGATAAAGTGTGAATAAAGTAAGAATGAATTCCAACCACTCACATGTTACCAAATATGGTATGAGACAAACTTAATGGGACGGACGAAAAAGGTAAAACGGGACAAACTTAGGGGGACGGAGGGAGTATTTTATATTTCCCAATATGGGATGACTTAACACTTATAACATACCTCTGGGGCATATATATATACAATGGTGAAGGTTGCTGTGATGCACGTACGAGCCCCAAATAAAAGTCCTGTTGTTAAACCTTTGGATTGAGAATGAATGAGCGGGAGAAGAAAAATGCAGCATACGAAGAACAGAGCCGCCATCGAATGTTTACGGCCGATTCTGTCGATCATTACAGCAGATAGGATAAGCCCCGGGATTTCTTCAAGATGTAAACCAAAGAAAATGTGCGAATCAGCTTCATTATGACAATTTTACCATTGAAGATATCTGAGAAACAATAAGGGTCTGTTTTGGTTAGGGAGGTTGGGAGAGGATATTTTGGGGAACTTAGTCTATATCTTGACATACATTTGACATTTTTATAAAAAAGAAAAATTTCAATAACATATAATGGTATAACAGAAATAACTATTTGTTTGTTTGTTAAGAACACTTTATTCATCAAGATATAGATAGTCCCTCATAGCCTTCACCTGGAGAACCCTACATCAAAACAGATACTAATGCTCTTTTTGCACAAAATAAATTTAAGTAAACTTGATCAACTTAATAATTTGTTTGTTTCAAGGCAAAATAGGTTCTTCTAGTTTGAGTTCGGGTTCTTTCCAAGGATCTTTTTAATATTTTAGAACCAGAACATAGGTTTTCAAAGACTAAGGTTTACCTCAAACAACCTTCCACAACCTCAAATAAACTAGTCTTGACGAACCTTAGAATAGGAGGTTTTGTGAGGTGAGCCTCTTTATGAGTAGTTAAAATATATGAACCCAGTTTAAAATCCATTTAAAAAAAAAACTTTTACTAGTATCCAAACATACCAGGGTTCAGTGGTTCCCCTATGTTGACCCAATTTTCACTAAACTTGGGTTTACTATAGTTTACTTATGTCCACTCGATCAAAACAAAGCCCAAATCCGAGGTTTTTGGAGGTTAAGTTTTCTCTATAAATAAAAGCCATACAAATATACCCGCAAAACTCGTGACGAAAACGTCTCGGTAGTTAACAGTCTCAGAGTTCTTGGATTTTGAATGGGACGGCGAACATTTGTCGTGCCCACTGTTCAATTGGGTTGTGAGGAGAACAAGACCGTAGTATGAAAATGCATTTCCAAAGAAAACCACCCATAAAAGAAGAGTAGATCTGGCCAAACTTGGTGAAAGAAGCATGGCAAGTGAAGAAAACCATCCTAAGGTGCACTCCACAAATTTAGACTTCAGACTTTGGTCTATTTTAGGTGACAGCAAATGCTTGTCTTCTGTTGGTGTGACTTCATCCACCACTTGTTTGTTAGAGACGAGAATGCCTGGCGGCAGTGTTGCTCCATTGATCCTTGCTATTTTTTCAAGAATCTGCAATGCTTCTGCTTGTCTCCCTTTTGCACATAAATACCTTGGAGACTCGATCGTGAAAGTGTAGAACAAAAGAAGCAAAGATGATGGTATGCAGGAGAGTGCAAGTAGCCATCTCCAACCCAGTCTTGGCATGACTATCTGCAATAATAAGCATAAGAACTCTATTGAATAGATTAACAGATTCACAAATTTTAAGAACTCTTTTCCCTTCCAATAGAAGTGACTCATTTAAGACAAAAAGAAAGACAATATTCTTCATAAAGGGAAAATGGTAAATCTACGCAATAATTTATGCAAACTATGGACTTCGAACTTTTGTATTAAAATATTAATCTAATATATATGTGTGTGTGTGTGTGTGACCATGTGTCTTTATATTTGACCGGCAGGGGCGGACCCAGGAAATTCATCCTGGGAGGGCGGTAGTTCAAACAAAAAAAATTCTTTAGGGGGCGAAAATTATTTTTCGTATATATATACACTAAAAAAATTTATTGTTGGAGGGGAGGTAGCCCCCCTAGGTCTGTACTACGGTCCGCCCCTGTTGACCGGTAACCCACAGAATGTAGGGCATTACATCAGGCAAATTAAAAAATATGGATATGGTAAAAAATTACTACCCTGAATGATATATTGCTCCTTCTGTCAAAAAAAATGATACATTGCTCATTGGAGTATGATTGACACTAATCTCATATTAAAACTTGGGGTTTGATCCCAAAAGGTTAGTCTCACACGAGGAGTAAAAACATTGAATACGGAGTATGAGTTATTATTCCAAAAAGCTACGTAGTAATATGTTAGGTTTACAATTTTATATTTTACCCACGTGGAATAGTGTAAAATTTCAATTTTACAAAGAACAATCAATCTGCTCAATACAACACTTTCAGATTTAGGCAGGATGAAAGATAGAGAAAGATGAATTTTTCAACGGGAGAAGCCCAAATGAGCTTACCCATGCCATTGAAGCCTCAAAAATGGTGCCGATAGTCCAGAAAGCTGAAAAAATAACCATCCAGGTGCCTCTACTTGGAGCAGGAATGAACTCCAAGAACCATGAGAAAAGGACTGGACCCCCTCCTAAACCAAAACCAACCAGACAGCGCAGGATAACCAACACAGTTATGTTTGGCGCAAAGGCACTTGTAAATCCAGCAAGAGCAGTGATCATTGCTGTTACGAAAAACCCATTCCTGATGAATAAAGAGGCGGAGAAACAAACACAGATGGCGAATGTAGGTGACACTGTTAGAAACATATTCACTAAGACTCCCTATACTGCTATACAATAACCTCAATTTCGCAGTCATTCATTTAGAACTTTCACTTCTCTCATAGTCAAAATTAAGTTTTTTTCATTAATACACATCAAAGGGCACCCTCACATCATTGGATGGTAGTAGAACAGGTCTAGGAAGCACAAATGAGTTGGGTTCACAAACCAAACTAAGCCTTTTCCAGAAAGTGGGGATTATACCGTCAAGTATGTCATAAATATAAACACACAGTCACACACACTCACAAACAAACATACAATACAGTATGCTACTTTCCCTTTCAGATTCATTGGCTAGAATACTAGTCTAACTCTTAAGAGTAAGAGGATATAGATGTATGTTAAGATCAAACAAGAAATCAAGCCTAATAACCCCAAGATTAGGACCTTGACTTCAAAACTGTTCTGCAATATTAAGCAAAGATCTTGCAGAAAGTCATACCATCTTGCATAGATGCTCAGAAGAGATAATTACCTCCTACCATAGTTGTCGGAAACAATACCCCAAGAGTAGGCGCCAACCAACATGCCAACAAAAACCATGCTAGTTAGTAAGGTCTCTTGACTAGGAGAAAGATTCCAAGCAGAGTGAACAGCTGGTCCCACAAAAGAGAGAAGCATCATTTCCATGGCTTCAGATATCCAACCCATCCCGGCATAGAGGAGCACAAGAACTTGGAATTTCCCAAATCCCATTGTAACAAGTGCTTCCTCTACTGTATACACATTTCTCTCTTCATCCATCTGCGCTACATATTGGTAAGACATTGTTAGCACTATTTTTATCTACAAATAGAATCCATTTAAGTGTAGATACATCATAAATGATTCCTGATTACAAAATGTTAAAGAGTTTGTCTTGAATCTGCTATAAATGAAATGTCAACTGACATATAAAAACCTTTGGCACACCTTTAGCCATACCTTTTTTTATAGACATACTTTTCTTGTAAAACCCATTGCCTAGCCCGTTTGGTAATTGTTTTTTTTCTTCTTTTTCAGCCAAACTCTTACGACGCAGTAATATTTTTATTCACACTAAATTAATAAATAATGAAAAAAGTAAAACAGAGTATGAGTGATGCTTCTTTCAGCTCAAATGTCTGAAAAGAACCATTTTAGCTTTCTTCATATAATTGCTTCTTTACTTAAAGAAAGAAAAACAACGTTGTTAAAATTTAATTAAAGAAGAGAGAGAAATTATGAATCGCATATTGGTTTCCTAAATTTTTTTTAAACAAATGAGAAATAAATTTATGAAACAAAAAAGGAAAACATGTGGTTGACTTAGCCGCGGAGGGGTATTTTTTTTAATATCTAAGCACGTTTAACCATAAGTTTAGCATGATTCACAGCCAGTTTGGTAACATATTTTCATCATATATCTGTCTAATTAGTAAACATTTGTATGAAATACGTGATTTTTAATTTGGTACACCTAAAGTTCATCCGCTCGGTCAACCTGAAAGTGAACTCCGCATTATACGGCTAAACTGTTAATACCGTGTTTTACACTTTTAATCACTCAGATCCACCTATTTCCAGCAACTTGTCTACCGCCTGGTGCATGTACAGTCTGAATTAGAGAAATCTAAAGTGGTAGTCCCAAAAAGAATTACAGGTTATTATGAAAGTGAAGACTTTCTGGATCTCCATGTTCATCTAAAGACTTTCTTTTGACCTTTCTTTAGACCCATAAATAAACTTGAAATGTTAAAATTCTTTAACTGACCCTTTGCAAAATAGAGGACTCAAAAGAAATAAAAATATTAGAATACAATGATTATAATTTGGGAATAATATAATTGAAGAAAAGAGAACGACTTCATATAAATTTTTGAGGTGCCTCCTTCAAAGAAACCGCCTGCTGGACGCTTCCATCAGAAAATTGAGCTGCTTCAATTTTTTTTTAAAGGGTAGGTTATGTGTAAAAAAATTTCAACTTAAAACTCAATCGAAATCATTTTTGTTGAAAAAAACCGTACCAAAATTATATAAAACACAACATTTTTCAATAATTCTTTTAACTAATTTTCTAATTAAATTTTAAAGTGATTTTTATTGACATAATAGACACTCTTCGAGTAGAATATGCTCAAACAATTGCATAAATGAATTGCCAAAAGTACCTCAAATGGAGGTGTCCAATGGACTTCTCCTCTGGAATTCCAGATAGGTTATATATATGCAAAAAAAACAGGTTTTGGCAAAATGTGATGAACATACTTGGTAGTTGGTGAGATCACACGAATACACGATTCCCAGTAAACCGGAAGAAATGTGCTGATTTTGGGCTTGATTTCTTCGGATGAAATTGTTTGCCAGAACCGAAGACAACAATTATAAAGGTGAAGTTTTTTGGAGTGTGGCGGAAATGTTGCGGTTTCTGGTCTTCTGCTTTACATTCTTCTTTGAAATGCACTCCCCGCTGTTGGGGGAATAAATGATAAACAATGTGAAGCTCAGATTCTCAAATCTCAATAATGCAAAATTTGTGCGATCCGTAGGCGGCTCTGCGGCTCTCATAGGTGTCCACATGACATTTAATCTATGGATAACCAGCCGCTTGAGGCTATTGCAAAATGGACTTTGAAAAAAAAAAGTTGTCTTCCACGAATAGCAATCACCCGCCTTGCAGGAAGATTCTCTTCCACGAAGAGGAGGATGTAGTTTGTAGGCTTGTAACAAGGACAAACAAACATGAGCCTTCTTTTAAGCATTTTTCATAAACTAGAGACTTTTGGAAATTTGCTAACACCCATAAGCATACATCTAATGATATGAATATTTTTTCATATATGTAAGCAGGTTTTTCATTTATATGTGTGTACGCGTGTAACGCCCCTCTCAGGGTTAAAGGAATCGTTACACTAACTTACTACTTTTAAAAAAATAGCTGCAATTAACGGCCGCCTATTTAAGAAAATAACCCTGATAAAATCTCAAATATAATTAAAGTATAACTCTTGATAAAAACTCAATAAAATATAGTTATCACCAGCACATGTGATAACCACCTGGATCCAGGAATTTGCTAAAACTTCAAATCCTCAAATAAAAAAAATAAAGTGATATAAGTCACTTTATTATAACACTGAAATACTGAAACCAAATATTATCTAGCTAGAAGCCACCAAGGTCGTCCCCGTTAACTCATCTTGGCACGCGTTCCACTCCCTCGTCATCTTCCTAGGCCTTGGCCTTACCCTTAGTATCTGTACATGCGAAGAAAGAAAACTGATAAGCTTTACGCTTAGTAAGTCACTATGGATCCACAAAAATATATGAGAAGTCTATGCTAATTTATCAATAGATAAAATTAGGCTATAAGCATGCACTGAACAAGTAACTAACACAATAACACATATCTTCTCAAATTCATTTTGAGGGAGATCTCAAAAGGAAATATTTTCTAAAATAATTTCTCAAAACTGCTGGAGAGATCTCAAAATTTCTTTCTAAAAACATCTCTGTAAACTTTCTGAAGGAGATCTCAAAAACAACTTTCTGTAAGACTTTCTGAAAGAGATCTCATTAAACTTTCTGTAAAACTTTCTGAAAGAGATCTCATAAACTTTCTGTAAAACTCTTTGTGGCTAATTTTAACTGTGGGCCCGTGATATGTACCCAAAGGCGCCAATCCGACAGCTCAGGGGAGCGACCCACTAAACATATCGGACTCTCTGAAACTCTGAAACTCTGATTACTCTGTGGGAACTTGTTCCCGGGTACATATCACTTAATCTTTCACTTTAAATATTAGTTCTTTTTATAGTGTCGTTTGGATAACAACATCATTAAATCAGAAAATAAAAATACTGACAAACTCTTGACTATGCCAGATAATAATCATCACTTAATACAACAAATAAAATAACTCAGCAAATAACTCACCAAGTTCACATAATAGCAAATAACTCACCAAGTTCACATAATAGCAAATAGACTAAAATCATCTATTAAAAATCAACAAGACTTCTTTCTTTTATTTGGTTGAACAAACATGTACAGGTGGTAGTGAACTTACCTGGTAGTGAACTTACCTGTTAGTAGCTGAACTCAAAATACTCAGTTAAGTGTGGCACCTTGATAACGTCTTCCGGTAAGCTCTTCTCTTATATCTTTAAATAAACGTAATTATGAAATAAGAATTTACCAAATATGAAAATGACCCTACAACCGAACTTTTAATTGTCTATTGGACATAATAAAGCTTAGAACTTTTTAAATTTTTTTTTTCTTGCTGCTACAGCGAACTAAAAACAACAAAATCTTGAAACTTGAAAACCTTTACACAGCACTTAAAATTTGTTGTCCGGAAACAAGACTAATTTGCTGCCCATCAACTTAAAACAGAACTTAAAATCAATTGAGTAATCAACATTGGTAAAAGGAACTTGCTGGGTGACAAACGAAAGTTCAAATAAATTTTCTCCAGCTGAGCACTGACTAGCTAAAGTGATAAAAATCACAGGCTAAAGTGATAATGAATCTTCTGTGTGATAAAAATCCCATTTAAACAGATTTAAAAGTTTTTAGTCTGGAATAAACAAAACATACAATAATCAAAAGCTAAAGTGATAATGAAGCTCCCCCAATAAGTAATAACCTGGCAATTTTTTCTAAAAGATATGTGCAGCAAGGTAAAAAAATATTGATAGAATGAATAGTCTGCTTATATGCTAAATACCAAATGTCAAGCCAATTCAAACCGTAAAATAGCCGGAGTGGGTAGATGTAATTTGGGGTGCCAATTTAGAAAAGACACTCTTAACACGAAGTTACCATTACAGTCTGGGGAAGCAAATTTCTAACAGAAAATTTAAAATGTTTCAAAACATTGTACATAACCAAAATAGTTTCACTGAATAAAATAAAAAAATCGTTTAGCTAAAAACGTTTCCAGCCATGTCCATCTCTAACAACCCACTAAATTTACAAATTATTCCCTAAACCATAACATCACGTAAGGATGAAATTTTAGGGAGAACTCAATTAGTTATCAAGAACTAAAATCGGCTCGTTAGCTATGTCAATCTCAATTTGCCGACTAATATTAGCTTTCAGACAACTCAGGTGTTTGATACTTGCTTTTAGACCAACCCAGAACAAGCACAAGATATAAAAAAAATTGGAATTAGGTTACCTGATCGAGAGGTGATGACGCAAGCTTGGTCCGATCGTTTGGAAGAAAGGTCTCAAAGGCAGAGAAGAAAAGAGCGGACCAAGGGTTTACGAGTGCTAGTATATAAATAAATATCTCCTACTAGGATTTTTAATCCAAATACTGATTCGGGTCAAGGTAATTGATTTGGGTTTCTAAGTCTTTAAAAAAAATGCTTTTGACTCGACTCAATATTATATTCTAACTTTCAGGATAAACTAATAAAACAAATACTATTAATTATTTCATCACTTAGAATTGTTCGAGCTTACCGATCAACGTTACCTGTCATAAATAAAACATGGTAAAAGAATTTCACATTATTCACAGAAGTAATTCATTTAATTGACTAAAAAAATGATAAACGACTAATTTAACTAGCTCGCTAAATCGGGGTGTTACAACGCGCGCATAATATTTTCATATAACTTTAATAACTCGATAATAAAAAACAAAAACACATTCTACATTTTCAAATTTTGATAACCTTACATATCATCATCATCATTACCCCAGTGCCGCAAAACTCCCACCTGCAATGGGGTTAGGGGGTCGGATGTACGCAATATTACCCTTGTATTAAAGCACAAAGAGACATTTTCCGAATGACCCATGACGAAAATTGCATGAGCTGACTATTGCTTCATAAGAAAGAAGACGGTTGCTTCATAACAAAGAAGTGCTAACAATTTAGTGAGTCATTATGCTTTACTCTATCATATTCTCAAGCCAAAAAACAGTGAATCTTTGACTCCATTGCAAATGGAAAACGAAACTGTTACATATATTGTACATAAGTAAACATACAATGCAATACATTTATAGCAATGCACTGCGTTATGAAATGTCACAATTTTGCTAGGAACAAATGCCTCAAAAAAAATTATCGTATGTTTCACCATTAATGAATCCCATAACAGTATCCTTCTTATCCCTGTAAAGCTTTTTGGACTAACAATATAGCTAAGAAGACTGCTCGAATGAGCTAATCAAATCCTCGTACAAGTAACTGACTATACAAGGCAAGCGCTTATTCCACACAAGAACAAAAGGTAGTTGTATGTATGTACATGGATGCAATTATATGTGGATAATTTTGGCAGTACATTACTCAGTAATAAACTATTTAATCAATCTCAACTGCGCTTTCTCTATTAGTAGTAGGCAGCTTGTCATTCAGCTCACGGCCCTTTGTCTCAAAGGGGAAAAAGATAACACAAACCCCCGATATGAAGATGACAAATTCAAACAGCCAGATGGCCAGTGTCTGATGGCATCCATGTATCAGCCCAACTGCAACTATAGGGCACACAATCCCCCCAATTCTTGCCACTGAGCTTGCAATTCCAAAGCCCGTGGTCCTAACCGTTGTTGGGTATACCTATACAGGATTGGAGCCACGTGTTATTTTAGAAGTTTCACTAATAATTACTTTAATAGGATGAGTAGTCCAATACGACTCTATGGTTATTTAGGGGGTATTTGGAACTGATTCTGCTTCGGATTCTTTTTTAAAACAGAATCAGAATCAGTTTTCAGAAGCTGGTCTCCCCCAACTTCTAAAAAAACTACTCTTGGGAGTAAATTAGAGCACCGGAAGTACTTCTACACTTTCACCCAAACACTCCAACTTCTGTTTTTGCTCCTTCACAGGGAACTAAAGCAGTTTTAAAAATCAGATCCAAACATCCCCTTAATATTTCCCAATATGGAATGACTTAAAACTTATAACATACCTCTGGGGCATATATATATACTATTGTGAAGGTTGCTGTGATACACGTACGAGCTCCAAATAGAAGTCCTGTTGTTAACCCTTTGGATTGAGAATGAATGAGCGGGAGAAGAAAAATGCAGCATGCGAAGAACAGAGACGCCATTGAATGTTTACGGCCGATTTTGTCGATCATTAGAGCGGATAGGATAAGCCCCGGGATTTCTTCAAATAGCAAACCAAAGAAAAAAATGTGTGAATCAACTTCAATATGACAATTTTACCATTCAAGATATCTGTGAGGAACAATAAGGGTCTGCTTTGGTTATACAGGTTCAGAGAGGATTGTTTTTGGAGTAGCTTAGTCTATATCTTGATATACAAATAATACAATGACATTTTTATAAGAGAGAAAAATTATCATAATATATAATGGTATAACATTTAAATGACTTTTTTGGAATACTTTATTCATCGAGATATAGATGAATAAAATGAATTTAAGAAACTTGATCAACTTAATAACTTGTTTGTTTCAAGGCAACATAGGATCTTCTAGTTTGATTTTGGGTCCTTTCCGGGGACCTTTTTCATATTTTAGAACCAGAACATAGGTTCTCAAAGACCAATGTTTACAGTTTACCTCAAACAACCTTCCACAACCACCAATAAACTAGCCTTGAAGAACCTTAGAATATGAGGTTTTGTGAGGTGAGTCTCTTTATAAGTTGTGAGGTGAGTCTCTTTATAAGTTGTTTAAATATACACCCAATTTAAAATACACCTTTTTCAAAGGACTAAGGTTTACCTCAAACAACCTTCCAAAACGGTTTTGGAAGAACCTTACAACAAAAAACTTGACCCATCAAACAATATAAGTACGCCATACCTACGTCCCATTGCTTACGCTATATTGCGTACGCCTTAACGCAGAAAACGTACGCTACAGACCTACTCGCAATATGCAATGCAATTTTACGCCACAGCCTCAGAAATAACAGAGGCGCGCCATAAGGCACTATTGCATTGCGCAATTGAAAACGATGGCAAAACCTACAAAAAAGTAGTCTTGAAGAACCTTAGAATAATAGGTTTTGTGAGGTGAGTCTGTTTATAAGCACTTTCAATATATACAACCAGTTTAAAATCCATTTAAAAAAACTTTTACAAGTATCCAAACATACCAGGGTTCAGTGGTTCACCTATGTTCACCCAATTTTCACTAAACATGGGTTACTTATGTCCACTCAATCAAAACAAAGCGCAAGTGAACTTAAGTTTAGAAAAAAACTGGGTGAACAGGAGATCATATGTAAACATATTGTTATGATAAATATTAAGTTAACCTATGTGAATGCAGTAAAAGTTTGTTTGGAAGGAAGTTAAGTGAATATATTAATATTAAGTATAAAGAAAACTGTCAGTCCATGCAATTTTCAACGCGAATTTTCACCTTGGGTCATCCGGAAACAGTCTCTCTGTTCTTTAGTAGAGGTAAGACTGCGTACATCCAACCCCCCTTACCCCACCATAGGTGAGGGAGCCTTTGCGGCTGATAGAGACTTTACTAAACTGAAGAGAAGAGATAAATACTCTAATAAAGTGTATTCTAGAAGGAAATACGGTTGTTATTAGTCTAGTCTATTATGAGCAAACAACTATCGGTGGTTAGCCTTCATTACTATAAATAGACTATAGGAGGATATTGTAAGTAGGCTGTTTTAGACATTTTAGTCTTGGGGGTTGGAAATTGAGAGACGAGCTTCTCTTTCTTTTCATTTGGGGGCTTCGGCCAGTTGCCTAAGGAGATTTCGATAAAGGTTGCCTTGAGTTCTTGATTCAATTCTGTGATCTGTTAGACTAGAATTGCAGGTTTCTAACATTGGTATCAGAGCGTTAGGATCGCTGGTGTGGAAATTTTGTCGCTAAAGGAAGTCTGTCGCAGATGGAGAAGAATCAGGAAAAGATCGAACAAAATCAACAATCCTTCGATGATTGGGCTGCGGAGATGTGGAGTAGAATAAACAAGATCGGTCATCAACATCGCAGGCGAACTAGAGACCGAGCGCGAATTGTTTCATCGGGTTCGCACTCACAAAAGGCTTCGGGCGGAAAAATGGAAAAGACCACGGAAAAGGTGGAGCGCGTAAAAGAAAAAGTAGAAAGGGATGGGGCGAAGGAAAGAAGGACCAGATTGGAGGAGTCGCGATACTCGCGAACTGTTTCGCACTCTCAAAAGGATTCGCGCGGAACCTTGGGGAAGTTCACAGAAAAAGTTGAAGGCGAGAAAGTGGAGAAAAAGAACAGCGGAAAAGTTGAGAAAAAGAAGAGCGGAAAAGTAGAGAAAAAGAAGAGTGAAAAAGTGGAGAAAAAGAAGAGCGAAAAAGTGGAGAAAGAAAAGCCTTCAAACATGGAGAAGGAGAAGCCCAAGCTGCTGCATCAACGTCGGCGAGGAAGGTCGAGGACTGTACGTCACTGTATAAATTCGAAGAACAGAGGTTTGTCTCAGTCGCAAGAGATTTCTTCCGGTCCTCTGGCTTCGACTCGAGTAGAAAACTTTAGTTCGCAATCTCTATTTGAGTCCCCAGAGTCGCAGCAGAAGTTGGTCAATCAGCAACTACCACCCACGGAGGATACACACACTTATGGCAAAGAGGAAAGCAAGGAGAAATCTTCAGTTAATCTTGGACTGGAAGATGGAGCAATTACTCGTTTCCTCATTTGTAATAACACCTCCAGGTACGAAGTAGTTAATTCAGAATTGGAGACCAATATGCTGCTGTCCCTTGAGCGTAGCCCTTCAATTGATGACTACATTCAAGTCAAGAAATACCAGACTGGGAAGTCAAATCCTATATCTCAAGGGAAGGAGGTAATTCTTGAAACTGATGCGATTAGAAGGATAAAGTGGTTGATCCATTTGGAGAAATCTGAAGGATGCTGCTACATCAATTTGGATCCTATGCTTCATGAATTCTCCAGCTTGAAGAATAGCTGCAAAGATTGGAGTGCTTTTAGAAAAAATGAACTTCCTTCATCTGACAAGGAAGGATGGAACCAAAGAAATAGGGATGATGTACTTGGTGATGCAGGAGCTGACTTTGTATTCTCAGCCGCAAAGTGTTGCTTGGTTTATGTGCTGCTTCATAGTAGCAAAGATTGTACCATTTTAAAAATAACCTGGGGACTTCCACTATCTGTTTCAAGGCACAAGGTGAAAAGGGACTCTCCTTTTGAGAAATGTTCAGTGGCAGAGAGTTTTTGGTGGGGAATTTCGATGGAAGTTGTATGGTGGAAGGATATGGGGAGTACTCAAAGTGTGGCAGAGGGTGGCAGTATTTTACTGAAAAGC